CAGACGAGGAAAGGCCTGTTGGCTAATTTCTAAAAGGCGATCGAACGCGTTGTGTCGTTATTACACGTGCACGCGATGTACGTACACGACTTCGCGCCGCGTCGCGAGGCGACGACGGTGGGAGGTGGGAGGCGGAGGTGGTGCGCGGTTCAAGACCACATTCCATGCCCGTGATGGCGCAAAAAACGGTGAAATGTTCGTCCGCTTTACTTCTTACCGTGTTAACCACGCGTGCGCGCGATACCGATGCGCGATCACGATGCGCACGAACGAAACGTACGCGATTCGTTCCTGCCCTCTTTCCGAGTCACCTTCTAACCATCTTTTTCCAACGGTTTTAAAACCGCCACCGATTCATCCTACTTACGAACACATAAGTATACATAGTAGTCCCGATCGAGTTTAATCTCCTTTGTATTGTAGCGAATCGCGAATCTTGGCACGAGCGAACCGACCAATCTTTCGCGGCATTATATACTACTAGCTATTAGCCTCGTGTATAATGTTAATTAATCCGCGGCATGACTCGAATCGATCGTTATCCACCTCACGATGTCGAGGGCAAAGAATCGATATCCCGGATGTATATCGCGTCTCTCTTTCTCTCGTTCGCTGCATACGTCCCATTATGTTCGAGACGTAATCCGTGCTATTTCCAATTCGTCAAATACGCGTACGAATATAGACCGACGCCTGTTTCGAGACTATTCCTCGAAAGAAGTAGCGAGGAACGGCAAGGAAAGTATCGAAGCCGAGCTTTCTTCTTCGATCCAGGGATTCGTCCATTCGGTGGAAAGGTCGTAACGCTTTCACCGGGCCACGATTAAGCGACGGGGACGAGAAGCGAAATCGTCGATCACGTCGTCGTATGGTTAATGATTATCGCGAGGCGGACTCGCCTCGAGCGATCCGAATCTGCAACTGGTTTCGAGCAGGTTGAACACGGTGGCCGCCAAGATTTATACACTGTTTATCGGCCGACAACTAAAATTACACGCGACCTGTCATCGAGGGGGGACAAATTGAGACACTCCTATCTCCGCGCTCCCGGAAAATACGTTTCGGTCGATAAACTGATAAACCGCGACGCGTTAAAGATGAGTGTAATCTTGTTTCGCCACGGTGTTTCGATAGAGATCTCGATTGGTCGCGGGAACGCCCACCGATAATCGAAAGCGAATCGGTTACGCCGCGCGTGCCCGTGAAAAACTGCCACGACTGTTTTACCGACGCGATTCACGAGCCGAATTATTCGCTCTTTTCTTTCTCTCAAGTCGTTTCCTCGAACAATACATGTACGAGCACGGAATATATATCCGCTTGAAATGGTATTAGGCGAGTTGGCGCTGTCGATAAATCCGCATGCCGTGCAAACCGTGACCGTACCACGCGTAAACCGATCCGAGTAGCGGCGGCTCGTGCGGTTCGCGTCAACGTACGCCTCGACGCGATCGAAATTCCCCGTGAAACATCTTCATTCCTCTCGCTCTCCGTCTAGCCAACTATAATAAGATATAAGATCCCTTCGTCGATTTGTTGTTCAACCGACGAGAAAAGATTAAAGATGAGAGTTCCCTTATGAACGGGAGCTTAAACGGCGCGTTAGAACGAAGAATGGATGAAAAATATCGACGTTCCACGAAGGATATATTATTTCGAGGAGGAAGTTATTAAATGTTAGAAAGAATCGTAGTCGTTCTATCTCGACGTCGACTCGAGGCAATTACACAGATAGAATCGATGTCGAAGCGCGCGTCGTAAAAACCAGTTCACGGTCGAGCATATCCGACGGAATATATCGAGCGCGTAGGCGAAATGATTCGCCATTTCTTCTCATGCCGATCACGAATTAATTATCGTTTCGCAACACTTTTCGAATTCGAACGATGATTCGATCGATCGTTACGTCGAATCGCGAAACGCGAGAGAAAGCTGTTTGCAGAAACTCGCAGAAACTCGCTCGATGCTCGCACGTGCGCGCGTTTAATCGCATTCCTAGAAAGAAGATCGAACTTCCGGGACTCCTACGCTCGCGAATTCGCTTCGATCGATCGATGCTTTCTCGAGGCAAATCCACCTTCTCGCCTCGTTTCTACGTATAGATTCGTTTCTATGTTCCTTACAACAGAATAAACTTCGATCTAACAAATATCAAAATACCAAGCTTCGTGTTTATCCGAGTAACGAGATCGTGTATCGTCGTGTATCTGTTGGCGCCTATACGTCCTAACAAGCATCGTTATCGCCACCCGCGACGATAAGGGAGAGATCGAATCTCGCGAAAAATCCGATAAAACTGACCGCGGTCGAATACGCGATCGAGATCTCACGCGCAAAGATAAACGAGTGGAAGAAGGATCGCGAAAGATATACAAACATTGTCCGAAGATGGAGGAAGGGAGGGAGGGCGGCGCGGTGTAATTCTTTCTCAGCCAAAACATTGGTTAGACTCGCGCCCCAGTCGATATCTGGTCCTGGAGAGTAGTACGGTTTGAATGGGCCGGCCGAGTATACACTTATCTCTCTCCGGTGAGAAAAGGAGAGAGATACACCATTTCTTGGAGTAATAACGGCGAATCGAACGACCACCCGCGAGACGAGAAAAATTTCTCTCTCTCTCTCTCTCTCTCTAGTAGTTCGTCGATGGTGGTCAAACATTGGTTGGAATCGGGAAGGCGATTTAACCGCCATCTCGTATATATTGTACACAAGCGGTTACAACCGTTTCGGAACGTAATGGAAGTCGCGAGGCTCTATGTTTTATTCGTGGCGAATCGAGTCACGAAGTCGACGACGCGCCGTCCCGAAAATTGCGGGAAACGGGGCACGAAATAATGATACGTGGTAGAGAACGCACGGTTCACCGATCCCGGGACTCGTGCGCGCGTGATTTCGTGCTCGCTTCCCCCGTGTTTCATTCACGAGTGGATGCCCCGAGCGAGATACCAGGGAATGTTAATGAGAACCGGCCGGTCAGCTGCTGGTCGTGGCCCTACCTATGAAAAACAGAGAATTCGATTCGTTGCTTCGTTTCCATCGTTTCCCCAATTTTCCCGTGAAAAAGGATCGGCGAAATTGTACTCGATGCTTGGTTATACGTTATAAGCACATTACAAGTGTATACGGCATTCACCGCAAGTTTAAAATCTCCTTTCCATCGCGAAGGCAAACAAGCTAATGCACCGCAACTGGAAATACTCGATTGCTCGATCGCATGATTTTTCAACTTCGATTTTTATCGCGCGGAAAAAATGCGGAAAAATTCGGAACGGAAAACTCGTCGCGAGAAGATAGCGCGTAGTGGCCATTATATAAATACTTTACCGAGAGGATTAAACGGCAGAGCGCGACAGTGGCGGCAGCGGCGAGCCCGCGTACTTTCTCGATTCAACGGATTCTACTCGTCCCGTACGAGTATTGCTGCATAATAAAAGGGAAAGGAATTTTGTTCCAAGTGGACTCGATCCGGATGTCGGAAATCTTGTTGGCGATGAGAAATCGTAAACGATAATCGAGTTGGATCGTTTCGATTAAATTCGACCGTTAGGTTTCACCGAAGCGAATTCACCGGAGTACGCCATTGGGGAATGAAATTTATTACCACGGTCAGGCTATTCGTCAAGAAACGATCGCGAACCTCAATCTCGGCGCAAACGTATTACAAAGATCCGGCAAGGATCGAGAAGAGACCGTCTTTACTCTTCGGATCGATTTGTCCTCCACGATTCTTTATTCACCCACGATTATCGATTTTCCCGTTCTTCCGCTCTCCTCCTCTTTCTCTCGTTTATCCCTCCAATGTCTATCTGTCTTCGAGCCGTACGCAACCGCCGATGAATAACGTTAACTAATGAAATTTCATCGTAAAAAAAAAAAAAAAAAAAAAAATCAACCTTCCTTCGCTCTCTCGCGCTAATCACCGATCCCCCTTCACTTTTGCATCTCGATTAAAGCAACGAGTATTTATTAACCTAGAACACGTTGAATCTCCTTCTTTTTCTTATTCTTCTTCTTCTTCTTCTTCTGTACACGATTATAAACGCATTCGCGTTACCAATCGTGTCGACTATATATCTTCGCCCGTGTAACAAGGATACACGAAGAGAGCGAAGGCTGAGAGACATCGCCAACGAGTTCGAATTTGCCCCTCGGTCGATAATATAATAATAATCACAATTATCGCGTTATATAATAATCGAGAAAAACCTTTGAACCGGCGGAAACAAATGATTGTCACCGGCTACCCGCCTGATCCATCAAATCGGATCGAGAAAAGATCGAGAAGAAGAGATCGAGTTACCCTCGGACAAAGTGATCGCGACGTTTCGTTCCGCTAGCCCATTGTCGTATCTCGATCCTTGCCACGATCCATAGATGCTCGACCCACTTAAACTGCGACTCAATTACGCGCACGACCTATCAGACTCCTCCTCGATCCTACTTGTCGCTCGGATTAAACCGAAACCTCGATCTCGAATCAGTTGCGTTTCGAGAAAAAAAAGAAAAAAGAAAAAAAAAAAAACGCAGCCAGACTAATCTGTATTCCCACGGGAGATCGGCCATTTCGTTCCTTTTCTCCCTCCCCCTCCGTTCTCATTAGATTTACGAGCTTTCTACTCCACATTCCCGATACCCGATGATGAGAGAGAGAAAGAGAGCAATTGAAATGCAAGACAGATTAGAATTATCCGCTAATTCCGAGCGCGTCGATAGCGGTAGCAATTAACGAAACCAAACGCGAAACCAACTTTTCCAACGACCCCACTTTCAAAACAATGTCTTTCGACTTCTATATATCTCGTATTTCGTTCGTATCCGTGTCCCGATTCCCCCGTTTCGATGTATCGTCAATGTGGATCGATGGCGGATCGGGGATAAGTTCGAATCGACAACCTAACCTCAAACCGTCCGACCGATAAGATTAAAAAACTATATAATTAAATTTCCCGATTCCGATCCTGAATAATGTGACAAGGAGGGATCCTCGGTTATTCTTGCAGACCACGAATGTGGGTGGCGGTAGCGTGGTGGAGAAACTGTCTTTCTACAATCACACGGAATGCGAGTGTCGAGAGAGGACCGAGTACGACGCGAGCAACGAGAAACCCTTGGAGCACAGAGTCTACAGACACCATCCGTCCTCCTCGCAACCTCAAAACATGAGAAGGGCACAGCCGAGAAAACCGTGAGTTCTTCCTTTATTTTTCGCCTATTTTTCGAGTAAAAAAAAAAAAAAAAATTAATCTTCAATTCCGAATTGATCAGGTGCCGGTGTCCCTCGGAATTCACACCGAGGATCACCGTGGATGGCGTGTGCCAGTGCAACTGCTACGAGAACCGTCAAAACTGTATCAAGATCAGACGAGGGAAAGGTTATTTCTCTCTCGCCGATAGATTGTGAGTAATACTCTTCCGATTTGTCACGATCACGATGCTCGTTCGAATTCCTTGCGTTTATTTACAGGTGTATACAAAACGAAGAGTGCGCGATGCCTAGCTGTGAATTTGGTGAATACATGAGGCGACAAGGCAAGTGTCCCCGGAAAAAGGACAAATTCGACACGATCGTTAATCATTATACGAACCATCACCGGTACAGGAGCTAGAGGGAGGTAGGAGGAACGAGAATAATCGTGCCAGTGGGAAGAAGAAACCGTGGAGGAAGAGGAGGAACGTGAAAAATCGCGAGAGCGCGACGAATAATCAACGGTGCCATTTTCCTTTCCGAGTGCCTTTTGCGAAAGACTCGATATATACATATGTATATGTAATAATACTCTTCGAATCAATTTACATATATTTCCATCCCGGATTTTACCGCTATTATATCGTATTTTTCTACTATTATCGTTATCGTAAATCGAGAAGAGGTATTTTGATCAAAACGGCTCGATGAAACGCGAAGATTCGTCGAGTGGTTCGAGATTATCGCATCCCTTCGTATTAATTCTGTCTTCCTTTGATACTTCGATCGAATCGATGAAATTTCGTCGATTCCGATTCAACGGATTCAAATCATGTTGTGATTCATGTCGAATCTTTCGATCTTGTAAATCGTGAATAATCGTGATTTGCTCGGCTACCGCTGAAAACTTGTTACAGATCTGAGAGAGAGATGGAATTATTCTTGATATAATAATAGACTCTATTGTCATAGGACGACGAGCCTAGTCCGAGATCCTGTCTCCATTCTGCGCCAGACGATTCCCCTCGAGAGTTCGATGAACTTATACAGTCAATCGCCCGTGCGAAGGACACCGACGGTCGTATACCAAAGCGAGGAAATATAGTAAACGCGAGAAGTAATTGCGCGCAAACTTAACGTAAATCTCTCGATATTCTCCTACGATTTTATGTTCACGCGTAAATGTGCAAGAGATATTTGTGTTCATCGAAGAGCAAATCGAAAGAAGCGAAAAACGAACGATACGAACACATACAGGCGAGAGATATAAATAACTTTTTTTTCCGATGAACCCACCGTAGGATCATCGCCTATCTGTACAGATGATGGATCTTGCGAGTATACGAGATGAGAATATTGTATTTAAGTATACGAGAAGAGAAAAGAAAAGAAAGGAAGTAAAAATACGAGTTGTCCGATGCATCCTTCGTGAGTGTTTCGTATCGTATTCTCCTAATCGTGTTTTCTACGCTTTATTATCGTAGTATGTACTTATGTACTTACGTATCTAGTAGCCAACTTAATCGTGAAACCGATTTGACAGCTTGCCCAGCATTTACGAGCCAATCGAAACATCGTGTACAATTGTGTATAGATCTATGTTTTAAGATTTTACTTGCATTGATTTTTCATTTTCGATACTTTTATGCACGTTCATTTTCATATTATGCGAAATATAAAACAAATACAAATTCGTTGTAACGGATGACGTTCAATCATGTCATTTTCCGCGCAATCAGCAATTTTTTTAATTTTGATCTATGATCCAATGTATGTACGTGATAAGTCAAAGGCGTTCTTTCATTTTTTTCTGCCTAATTTTCTACTATCAATCGTGAAAATGTATAGAACGCCGTTTAACATTCAGCTTGCTGTTGTACTCGCTACCAATTCTAGCCAATATACATATATGTATACATATATAAATATAGACGTAGTCAATAAATCAATAAAGTTGTATAAAAAGATTCATGAATATATATAATTTCAATAAAATTATAACTTTAAATAAATTTTTTGTGGAATTTTATTTTAATCAAAAACACTTTAATGCTACTAATTACTCGCACAAACACTAATTATATATTTTTTATAGCAAGAGAAAGAAAACCGTGTTAAGCATCATCGGATCACTATGGCCATCTAGTAGTTATGTTAGGAAGCGATGCTTTTAGTAATTCACTAGACGATTCAAAAACGTCTAGACCTATTCTTTAAAATAAAACATAGATGAAAAATAGAATAGATGTGACATCTTACTGAATTTTGCGTCGCATGTTCTAACATATCGATTTAAAAGTATTTTATAATCTATAAATAGCTATAATTTAAATAGTATATACATTAATTATTTATATTTTTTAAAGCACTTTTCTTGTCTTTTTTTTTCAAATGTAGAAATAATCGATTCAACTAAAATAAATCTATTATCATAAATTTCATTTTAGAAAGATATAATACAAATTATTCGTAATTATTCGTAATCGTCAAATAAATAAATAAAGAAAAATAATAATTTAATTACCAAAGAATTTTCATTTAAAATAAGAAATATATATTAATCGCATGTTAATATACGAACGATGAAGAATAATTATAGAACTGAATATTCCGTAATAAATCATAATCTTAAGAAAAAAATGATACGTTTGAATATGATAATTATCCATACTATATAATCACACTCACATCGAATATCGAATTACAAATTGTGAGGGAAAAGGGCACGAATCGAAATATATCGAGTTTACGAACGCGGATTTTCAATTTTTTGAAAGACTATATGATAAAAATTATCTTTATTCTTTAAATATAATATAAATTAAGATAAAGATAAATATGATACAAATAATATAAACAGATTAGGAAAGAAATTTAGAAACTTTAGAAACGAAAAATTGAATCTTCGAAATAATTTAATTTTATAATAAAATAATTTTAATAAATTAATTATTATTAACAATTAATTATATTCATTTTGATATTAATAAAAAGATAATTAAGTCCTATTTTAATTATATCTATTTTTATAAAAAATATAAAAAAAATAAAATATTACTTAATATAAAGGAAAATCATTGATTATAAATTGTAATATTTCTTCGATGTTATTCTGGAAATCAAATAATTTAAAAAAATGAATATTAGGATTATGAAACAAAATTAAAATATTGAATAACTGAATAATATAATATAAGATACTAGACATATCGAAGATAAAAGTATAAGAAAATATAAAAAAGTCAAGGAACTAATTAATTTAATTATCATAATGTTTAAAAAGTAAATTCTTACTTGTGTAAAAAAATATACGATTTATTTATTCGTAAATAGCGTAAAACTATTGTAGAAACAACTTTCTATACTGAATCGATAATAAGAGAAGCAATGTGAAATTAGACAAAGCAAGAATTGATTATCAGTGCCAAAGACATCTTTTTAAAAGAATTTCATAGATAGCGCTAATGATTAATTCTTATCTTGTCTTTATCTTCTATTTTGCTATCCTTAATGCATTTCGTTTGTAGCATTTTATAGATGGCGTTGATTCTCTAATTTTTACTATATCTCTATTCTTTTCTTTATTATTTGTTCTTCTTGTCTACACTTTCTGTAAAATGGCTTCGATATCTTATTGACAATCGTAAGCCGGTGAAAAAGAAAATATTGGTGTTAAGTCTATCCTATATTTGATCTGTGATATTAGTTTCATGGTATTTTTAAGATTCTAAATTTCAAGTTGAAATTTTACTTAGTATTCTGTACTTTTCTGGTCGTATATAACTTTATTGCTATAAAATCAAGGTTATCTATGACAAGTGACGATGAAACGAATTTATGTGTTACTATACGTTTTATAACATTAAATTACCAAATTGAATAAAAATAATGATAAAATGTGGGAATATTTATTGATACGCGACAAATCAATTCATTTTTTTTCTTAAATAATATTGTGTTCTATTATAATATACAATATGTAATGTATATAAATGAAACTACGATGTATGATTATTGTTATGTAAAATAAAGGTTCAATCAATATTCATTAATAATATTTTATATAGAAATTTCTTTAATTTTATTGAATTTCAATATTTATATTTCAAATTATACAAAGTTTTTAAAAGATCGTAATAATGGAAACTACTCAAACTTTGTATCTTAACCTCTTTGGTGAAGATAAAATACCCGTTTTAAAAGAAGTAAGTATATATAATAATAATTAAATATAATATGTATAATATATATAATAAAGAATTTATTTATTTTCATTACTTAGTTATTGCATGCTTGCGTGGATGAAATATGTGGTAGACCAGGTCCAACCTATCATAAGTTTGTAAATAGAATGGATTGGAGTAAGGAAGAATACGAAGAAACATATAAGTTAATATTGAATCTCCTAAGAAATCCAGCATCATTGTACGTAACAGAGGAAAAGGTTCGATTAATAGTTCCTTAGAAAAAAAAAACTTTTTATAGTAAATTTTATAGTACATTTTTATATATCATATATTTTTAGATGCCACAAGAGTATCATGAATTACCAGAACATATCCAACAAAATATATTATTGTGTTTAAAATTGAGAAGAGAACAATTAACAGATGCTCTATTGAAAGAATGTTCCAAAGAAAAATACGAGACTGTAATTGATTTTGATTGGAAATTAAAGGTAAAATAAGAAATTGAACTCGTATGAAGATACATCATTGTTAAATGTGTTATTTTTTTTAGCTTGTAATGGGTTCCAGTAAATTAGCTTCATTGAGAGAACCTCTTCTTCAATTAGATCTCATGCTTGAAAGTAAAAATTCAAAACGTATTTTAGATATGGAATTAAATAAGGATGAATTGGATACGTTTATAAGTACTATGGAAAGTATCGTTCAATAACGTGAATAATGCATAAATAATTATATAATTAAGATTTTTTTACAATTGATGCAAGTTTAATTGTAAATTTTTCGAGATGGAATAAAAACACACCATGTTACACTTGTTTCACAGTTTATTATAGGTTATAGATAAATGTAGAATAGTTTAATTACTATTATAACTGCTCATCGAAGATACTGAAGACTGTTGGTCTGTGTCTGAAGCACCATCGACTCAAAAATCTCATTTATAATTTTGTTGTTCCGACGCGCAAAATAAATAAACGAGGTTTGCGTCGATGGAACCTCAGGATTTAACGATTAATAATTCGAGTGTACAGATCAGTCGGATTTAAAGATTTTTTTTTTTTTCTTTTTTTTTTTCCCCCTTTTTCTTAAATAAAAAGTTCGCTCTCGTCGCCAAAACTTGCCTTGAAAAAACGTGTGAATTTCGTTGTAAAGATCATTACGGACAATATATTTAATGAAAGGTTTACTATACAACTTTTAATTTTACTTCTTCCCCTTACTCATTAATAATATATCGTTTAAAAATCAATGCCGGTCGCGGGCACAATGAACGCTCGCTCCATTCAACACTTACATGTATTCAGAGATTTTGGAGCATTTACATATATACGCTTTTCGTTTATCTTTACGATCTACGCTACGGTCTCAATAAAAAAAGAAGCTTTCGTAGGTAATTATTTACTCCTGGAGATCCGTAGAAACGAATCCATTTTGAATGGTAATTGTGCATGTTTCGTAATTGTAATTAGGCGATATTTTAATGATTATTATAAAATTACGAATAGGCTTCCTCGTAAGTATTCTCATATGGAGAAGTAGCATTTCGAAGGACAAACGCTGAATTTACACAAACGCTTTCTCTATATCTAGATTATATATATCACTTACACTGCCTCGACATACTGTATGTTTTCCTTATCTCGTGTGTTGCATGATACGTATGTACGCATTTGCGTATAATGTCCTTGCATGTATGTAGCTATGTCGTGTGCTCGCGCGTACCAAAGTCATACGTAGAAGTGTGCAGTTCCTCGTTACAACATAAAAACCTGTCGATTGTACAATTACAAAGAAAAACAAGGACCGCGAAAGAAATACGAGCAAAATAATCGAGCGTCCTTGAAATCACGATACGAGTTTATTCATTACTCGTGCGCTTTGATATATCTTTTAATAAGTTTTTTTTCCCCCTTTTTTTTTTTTTTTCTTTACTTCTTGTTCTGCCTTTTTCCGATCCTATCTCTTCTTCTTTCCCGTTCACACTCCGACAAAGAGACATATTCCAATTATTCCTTCCTATTTCCTCCTTTGTTTCTTTCTTCGACACGCACATTATTCATTCTCTCATACTTCTTTCGAACTCTCACGCTCTCTCATGCATTCGAACGCACACGTTCTCACGTATACACCTTTGCTCTCTCAGTCTCTGATCTTTCGGTTACAGTTTTTCTCGTTCTTTATACTCTCTCGATATAGCAATGCGCGTGTAGTTACGAGAGGGCGTGCCTCGATGAGTATTTCTTTATTTCTGGAATATGCGACAAACGAAGAGATTTCTCCTTCATCGTATATATATTTTTTTTTCTTTTCTAATATGTTTTCTTTTTTTTCTTTTTTAAATTCGAATTCGTACCACTTACTCGCCGCATGATGATCGCATAATACGACTTATGCATAACAATTGTGACAATTTTCCGATTTTTACACAACAGGGCCCATATATAATATTATTATTATTATTATTATTATTATTATTATTATTATTATTATTATTATTATTATATTATTATATTATTATTATTATGTTGCGAATAAACAAGGCCCAACATTGAAAATATTTTATTCGTGTAATAATAAAAATAAAAAAAGAAAGTAATAAAAATCACCTGCTTCGAGATATATATATATATACCATCCATATGATTACATGGCATTACGTGTTTTCAGAGTCAATCGTATAACATTTTCCTCGACCCTATCTGGCTCGTCCTCGTAACCCCTTTTCCCCATTTCGATGACACGACCCGGGTTTTCACATTTCGTGAACATTTTCTTTCGCCCTGCCGTCTAATAATCGTTAATAGGCCTACTATATAAGTCTATATGCTCTCGCGATGTCGCGGTCACATCGTTCCATTTTCTTTTTCTTTTTTTTTTTCTTTTTTTTTTCCTTTTTTTTTTTTCCCTTTTTTGCTCGTAACGAAAGAACGTTATTTTCTGTTTAGTTGCAGGAATGGTCCAAATATACATATCTATATAATATACTTTTTTGGTTTTAACGAGAGAAAAGAACTTTCTTCTTCCCAAAATACAATTCGATTAGCGATGTTTATTCGTTTATGTTGTTTTGGTAACGTGCTTCCGCGATAATTTCCTGCGAACACAAATAAACACAAATCACAGAATTTAGATAAGAACGTTATTTACAAGCGTTTTTTTTTTTTTTTTTCTTTTTTCTACAAACCAACGAGACAACGTTTCAAAAAAGAAGAAAAAAGAAAAACTTACATTCGTATTACACTCGATGGTTGCCGCCGCAACAGCCTTATCGCTTATGTCAATTTCTTCGATAGCCTTTAACAAAAGAAACAAGGTGTTTTTCACATATAATAATGCCAACAAGTGATAAAAATGATGATTTTTAAAAGAAAGGAAAATTAATTAATAGATATATATATATATATATATACACAGATCAGATGGCCCCTCGCACATTATTCTTCTTAGGACATTAAACCTATGTGTCAATGACCTCGGAATTGATGACGCTACACGCGTCACCAATCACTATAGGCGATCATCATTTATGTATCACGTTGAAATTTGAAGATTGAACTCGTCTCGATATTTATATCACTTTTTGGAGGAAACGGAATATACCTTGGCCACCGAGGCAACATCCTCGGTGATGGCTGGGGCAGATGGCGGAGAGGCGGTTATTACTTCGCTCGGGACGGCTGGAGATGTAACCTTGATAGGCTCGGTTGAACTTTCTGTCGTACTAACGTCGTGGGCCACGTTATTTTCTACTGGGGCCTCTGGTTGCTCCGGAGTGCTCTGCAAACGCACACGTATCTCCTTATTAGATCGGATTATTAAACCAACGGGGGAAGAAAGGGGGGAGGGGAGAAAAATCGGAAAGTCCGCAACAAGTCCAAATCCCAGCATGCTACGAGGACAAAAAAAAAAAGACGTAAAGATCGATTCTGTCGAGCCAAAAACCACGTTGATTCTCCAAGAGATATTGCACGCAATATTCTTGAGAAATTGCCGGACAGCAGAATTGGGCTCTGATCAATCAATCAACTTGTAAACGTAAAATCCAATTAAAAATCTCGAATAAAGTTGCTATAATTTATACATTACTCAATTTGCAATTATCATTAATATTATCTACTATCACGTTTTAAAAATTATCGAGGCAACTTTATTCGTAAAATTGAAAAAGTTTGTCAAAAAATTTTTTGCCCACCAACTCTGCCTGACAGAATCATTCCTCATGCTTTTTCTTCGACAGCGTAAAGAATTGGAAACACCCTGCTGGATAAACCCTCGGATAAGAAAATTCTGCATGCGCAATACAAGATGCTTACGACACAACAGATGCAATCACGTAAAGAGCATACGATAGTATCGATGTCTAAATTAATGTTTCTATAATGGCGTATAATAATGAATTTCTATCCATCTAGCTAATTATATTATGGCGTATATACACATATATATATACGATTAGTTTTTATTAACGTCTATCAATGAGATTCACGCTAAGAGATTCGTCTAAATCGAGCGGGCTATATTTTATATATATATATATATATATATGTTGTTATATTAGTGAGCGGCGTTCCGAAATTTTCTACGGAAACGACTAGGACTCGACTAGTGGTGGTGGTAGTAGTAGTAGTAGTAATAGTAGTAGTAATAATAATAATAGTGCAGCGAAAACATTTTTTTTTTTTTTNTTATAATTCTTGCTCGTTTTCTCAACTATGCTGTCGAGCTACAATTGTCATCTACTTTTCAGCGCCTCGATTCGAATAACAAGTCGTGTTAATAATTGTCAAGAAAACCAAGAGGCAAACAACACAGGTGGTGATATGGTGATATGGTTGTTCCGGTGATTCTTGGTCGGTGGATGGAAGCGGCATATTCATATAGGGATCGTCAGCAACGAGGTTAAACGTTTGGTGTGTTAATCACGTCCGACAGAACGAAGGATGCATTCGACGAGACCCTTTATTTATTTATTTATTTATTTTCTTCTAAGACCTTCTAAAGGAAGAAAAAGGAAAGAGGAGGAGGGGGGAGAAAAACACAGTCTTTAATCTAAGGTGAATAATCGTCAAGAAGGTAATGAAGATAGAGAAAGAGAAAGAGAAAGAAATTGATAGAAAGAGAGAGAGAGAGAGAGAGAGAGAGAGAAGGATACGGATAAATGGATTCGGTAAAAAAAGGATCGTTTAGACGAAACGATGGTGCAAAAACCCACACTGGGATCGGTCTCGTTCGATTATCCTTCGCCAGAAGAGAGAAGGTGATGAAGCCAGAGAAGAAAAGATCATCGTCGATTATCGAGGGTATCGGAAGAAACGAGCGATGTATATCGAGCGACAGACCATTGGATGGAATAATATATCTAGGGATGGGATATAGAAAAGAGAAAGAGAGAGAGAGAAAGAGAAAGAGAGATTCGATATTTTAGGACTATATTCACAGAGACGAATTGGTTTGTGCGGACCAGATACGACGAGATACTTGGAACGAGGCGCCACCAAAAGGTGATTCTTTTTTTTTTTTTTTTTTTCTTTTTTTTTTTTGGCTGCCTGAATTCATGCCAGGAGGTTGTGTTACATGTTAGTCACCTGATGGGTCTCCTGGACAGTGGTCGACGACGTGGCGTTGTTCAACAACTGACACGAGACCAAGCTCTCTTCCTGCTTCTCGGTCTCCGCCAGAGACTCGGCTAACCTCTCCTTTAATTCAATGTCGGACTCATTGTACGAATTGAGGCTTATCGACACCGATTCCATCTTGAACTCTCGATTGCTCTGGTCGTCGTACAACAGCGATTGCGAGGAATCTACCGTGAACGGCATCAGGCCGGACGTGATACTGGCATTGGACGTGGGGCTGGGAGTTCCGGCGGGCAACGTCGACGCCGGTGGTGGTAGGGGGGTGGCGGTCTCTGTCTCTGAGATTCTCGCGGGTTCGTCGTCGTCCTCGTCCTCGTCCTCGTCGGGAACGACGAGCGGGCCCTCGTTCCTCGTTTCGGGGGCAATTGGGGCGGGTTCCCCGTCCTGGTCGACGAGGGTCGACGAGGGGGGGAGGTGTTCCGGCGGTAGGGGGTAATCGAAGGAATCTACCTGTTGTTCGGCCGCGTGTTGCTCGGGCGGGGCTGGGGGGGGGAAGAAATCGTCCGCGAGGCTAGGCACGCGCTCGAGTTTCGGGGTGGCGTTTCGAGGCTCGTGCTCGGCGAGCAGCGTTCGCCGATTCGACGATTCGTCGCCGCCTGTGGTCGGCTCGGGGGGAATGATATCCGCGAACAGCTCGGATTCGTTCGCCGTCTCGATCGATTCTTGTCGTTGCTCCTCCGCCAAATCCAAAATTCTAGGCTCCGCTCGGACGAGTTGGGAGGAGGACGGTGGCGCGGTCGAGTGGTTGGCCGCTTCGAGCTCGGAATCGAGTCTTCCTCGAGGGGCGACGACCACGACGCTCTCCCCGACGGGGAAAGCTTCGGGCAAAGAAGGGGGGGAAGAAGGCTCCGGAGGGGAAGGGATGGCGGACGACTCCTGCTCGTCCCTCGCCTCGGCCTCGCCGCACTCGTGCGTCGGTCTCGTCTCGAGGATCGCGGGATCCCGACTCGTGGGCGCGGAGCCTCGGTCAACGGCAGGCTCTCGGTTGGGGCGAGGGAACAAGGAGCAGCAATCCTCCTCCGACCGTTGCTCCGCCATTTCGGAGATGAGGATCTCCTCTACGGGCACGGCGATGTCCGACCCCATAGTTTCCGTTTCCAATTTGTCCGTTTCCACGTCTGGAATCGTTTGGACCGATTCGGTGGTGTCCACCACCCTCGAAACGTCCGCTGCAACCCCGCACGAATTTTCCTCCTCGTCCTCCGGAATGACGAGAGCCGGCTTCGCCTCCACCAGCATCTCCTCCTCCTCCTCCTCCTCCTTCTCCTTCTCCTCCTCCTCCTCTTCTTTCTCTTCATTCTGTTGTTGCTCGCAAGAGACGGGCACCGGCCCTTCCTCGGATTCCACAATCGCGTCGATCGTGGGCACGGGTGGATCGACCACAGTCGCGTCTTCCTCCTCCTCTCGCGCCATCTCGTCCGGCACGATCATCTCCTCGATCAACTCTCGTATCTCATCCTCCCGCCTGCTCGCAGGTTGGGACGATACCGATTCTTGCCTCGCCACGCTCTCCTCCACTATTTCCGAGATTATTTCCGAGACTATAGCGTTATTGTCCGTCGACCTCCCACCGTCCTCGGGATCCAACCTCGTCGCCGTCGTCGTCGTCGTCGTAGTCGTCGTAGTCGTAGTCGTAGTCGTCGAGGAGGATTCCATCTCTTGGACGAACGTGATTCGCCCCTTCTCGTCGCCGACCAGAAGAAGATTGTTATCGTTACAAGCGCCGGGGGACTGTTCCGCGGTATTGCTATCTTTATCTTTGAGCTGGGGTGGCACGGTAGTGGTGGGGAGGGGGTGGACCTCGACGGTGCCGTTAACGATAAGCGGGGACGATTCGAAATTGTTGGACGGGCCTCTGTCTACCACCACCGGTAGCGGAGGAAGGTTAGGCACGACGGGGACTATAGCGGTGGAGGGTGCGTTTCGTTCGAGGGAGGAAGCGGTCGGGTTGTGTGAAGAAGCGGGGGGCGAGGGGGGGGCGAAATGTTGGGAGGAGCGAGCAGCCTCCGCAGGCAGTTTGAGAGCCTCCGCCAGGGCGGTCGCGGTGGCCGCGGCCTGCTGAGCTTGCTGCAACGGCGACGAGTCTATGGGGGTTGGAGGCGGGCTGGACGGAGGCAGGGAAGGAATATCCTCACTGGTTTTCCTCTCAATGATAGACGGCGTAGCGACTGTCTGGACTCGGAATACGGAGACTTCTACCACCGGGTCCGGTACGGACTGACCACCGACGGCTGGACTGACCTCGACTGCTTTTTTCTCGGCCTCGAGTTTTTCCACCTCCTCTTTCTTTTCCTCGACGGGGGCGGGAGTCGGGGCGGCGGAGGGATCGGTGGCCTCCTCCGTCGTCTTCTCCTCGGCGGGGCTACTGGCCGCCGACGCCGCGCCGCTGCTCTCCTCCTTCGTCTCCGCGACGCTCGACGGCGGTTGTGGCGATGACGGTGATGATGCTGCTGTTGCTGCTGCTGCTGCTGCTGCTGCCGCCGCCGCTGCCGCCGCCGCCGCTGTTGTCGCTGCTACGGGCGCCGCCGCCGCCGCCTCCTCGTTCTCCGTCGTCGGACTGCTTACTGCTGATTTCTCCTCGACGGGGCTACCCGCCGTGCCCGATCCGTTCTCCTGCTCCTCGCCACCCTGCAACATTTTCGTACGATACACGTTTATACGGCGAGAACCGGTGCTGCGTCACGAGCGCAGTGAACCTTCCCCGAATTACCATTTGCGATCAACGCTAACTTCTCTCGATATTAAGCGACTCACTTAACGCCTTTCTCCTTTCGCTTCCCGTTAACCGAATCCGTCGTGTGTGTGTGCGTAGCGCTACACCGATTCGTAACGAAGAGATATTCTATATATACTCGTAGACTAGGAGGAGGAGGAAGAGGGGAGAGGTGTGAAAGTTATCGATATATTTCCGATTGTTATGCACACGACGACGCACTATTTTTTCCATACTCTTGCCGAGTTTGGATATTCGGTCGATGGGGGGAGGATACACGATCCTCGTATGTTGTCGTAATGAATCGAAGAAACACGAGTGGAAACGAAATCAATGGTTGAAACCGAAGCGGGAAATGGAAACCGGACGCGTGGAACGCAGAGTGTGTGCTTTATCGTCCCCAGACCTCGGGTATCGATCGGGTGGATAAGTGAAACCCCTTCTCGCCCCTTCCCCCATGCGTATTTTCGTAAGGGGTAAACTTCTCTCTCTCTCTCTTTCGCTTAAAGAATTACACAGCCCCTCGAGGGGTTGTGGTACCCAACAGCTTTTTAAGCACCCGAGTGCTTTTTCTCGCGTGTTCCGCCGCCGCCACAACGATTTCTTCTTCAAACGAAACGAGGAGCGAGAGCACGAAAGAGGTACGAATTTGGCCAAACTGTCGAGAGGAGAGGTGGAAGAGGAGGAAGGCAGTATGGATCTTCCCGGGGAGGAAAAAGACGGCGGATTTTTGGCCGATTGCCAAAATGTGTGTCGTGGTTCGGGCCATTGTCCGCTAGGCAAACGGAAAGAAACACCGGGCTAATAAACTTACTAATACTAATAATACTTCCGATTACATCTTCGATTCGCGATACGAATCGGGTAAAACGACGTTCCAACTTGGCGCCAACCTTGTATCATTGGCCGTCGACCAATTTCAGAATTTTGCAAATAGAAATTGCGAGGCGCAAATATTCTCGTTGGCGATCGCAAGCTATTTCTCGTAACCGTTAACGTTCTGATGTTTACATCTGGTCGAAACGGTCACTGATCCGCAGTGTAGCAATATCTTAACAATCGAGAAACAAGCCTCGAGCATATATACGAATTATATACGTACGAAGTACGTGCATGGTTGGATGATGAAACAGCGCCAAAATTAATTTCTTCTGTTTGGACGAATGCTTTCCCTTTTTAGCTCGCGAACAGTTGCGCAAAAAAAGGAGAAAAAAGTGTAACGAAGAAACGTTGTGTCGTTAACGCGTTCGAATAGCATGAGCGAAGCTCCAACGACCGTTAAAAAAGATGGTGGGCAAACTGACCATTCGCCGTCTCTCTGTCTATCTCTAGCTATCTCTCTCTGTCGCCAATCGCGCATTGTCACGGTCTGAATGCGCGTCGTGGAAAAACCTATTTCTTATTCGCGTTCCTTTCCCCCACTCCTTTCTCCCTCTCCTTCCCGTTCTTCTTTTTTTAACATTATTATTTATCGATCTTTTTCTAGGATCGAATTACGAATTATTTATTCGGTTCACCGAGCGTATCAGACGCCGATATCGGTCACAGCGTGAAAACGAAGCCAAACGGCAGAGAGGTTAGATGTATTTAATATCCGCGCCAAGGTAAATCGGGGAATAAAGCTGCGAATCGAGACGTTGCGTCGTGTGTTGTGCGTGTGTATATGTGCCAGGCCAAAATTTCTGACTTTTTAATACGAATACAAATGCGAAGAAGCAACGGTCGATCGAGCTCGACGACATCTTTATCGTTTATCTGGAAAGTGGAAAGTGAAGGGAAATGGCACGAATCGGTCTAATAACGAAATTTTTCTCAACGCGATTCTTTGGTTCGATCGAAAAAAATAAAGTCGACCTCGTCCATTTATCGAACAACAATGAATCGTAAAGAGAAGTCCGATTTCGCATTTGATCACTGATTGGCCGTAAAATCGATTTGTCCCAGGCCAGAAACGCGATTAAATTTCTCGTCATGGACGTGGACTAATTTATCCAGGTATTAATTTTCATCGATTCGAAGGTAGGTTTTTGCGCGGATCGACGCGGCAGCGGCCGCTTATATATCGCGTTCATTCCGGTTGAGCGCGACTATAATTCGATACGCGAAACCTTAAAACGCGTTCACCCACGTGGAATGCGAGAGGGAAAAGAGAGGCTCGCCGAGTATGATCTTTTCGTGCTATTTTCGTTCGACGAGGTGGTGGTCGATGGGCGGCGATGTTTCTTCTTCTTCTTCTTCTTCTGCTTCTTCTTCTTCTTCTTCTTCTCGAGCTTCTCGCGGCCGAGAAATTTTATATATATATATACACACATATTGCGCGTCGACGACGAGTTGCCACTACGCCACGATCGCCGGTTTCGGTTTACCTTTGTTTCCACCACTCCGTGTTCAAACCCGTGGAACAATGGATTATCGCGTAAAAACGATATCGACCGGCGAGGCGACAGACATAAATAAAATATCGCATATTCGTATGAAACCAGTTCGTTCTCTCTCGAAACGATCGAATTAACCACGAACTACCACACCCTCGAACGGAAGATACGACGCTCATTAATTGATGCGAACATGACCATCTGGGACCACGGTCGGTTAATCGCACGTATAGGAAAAGATCTCAAGGAGCGAAGGGAAGCGTTCGATTACCCACGATAATCCATGCGAGAGAAACGAGAAACGAAATAATTCGGCGAGTATCGTACCAGGGAAGAAGTTTCGGCTTCCTCGACTTCTTCAAGTTCCGGTGGGGCCACAGCGACGCCCAATAATGGCACATAAGATAAAACTCTTCTAGCTCCTCGAGCGAATGCACCCGCCACTCGGTATACACCATTGCTCACACTGCGACCCGCCTTCGTGATAGATTCCATCATTTTTGCCAAAAATTTTTCCCACTTTCCCACTGGAGAACTGGCCTTTGAAAAAATATCGCGATAACTGGCAGCGGAGGATGAACAATCGAGATTCGATGCGAACGACCAAGACGCGTGAGACCGAACTTCGAGAATGATCCTCTTTATCCTTCAATTTTCGAATTGGACGTAATATCTGGTCTATTTCGATCCATACGCATATATATATATATATATAGGAAACTAGCAAAAAGCATCACTTTGCGAGCAAACTACTTTTGCCACGATCTATTAATAGTCGCTGGATGACCTAGCAATGACCAACAAAAAAAATGCGCGTTACTACGATAAGGAGAAAAATCGTGATAGATAATTATACACCCCGTAAACGTCTCGATCGGAGAGAATGATTCACGAAGTTAGTCATAGTTTGTCGGTACAGTGATCAGAGAACTCGCAGAATCCGTAGAAACGTTATTTCCCATGATGAAAATTTCCAAGGTTGCGAAGGATCGAACAGAATAAAACGTGGACGATGGAATCACGATCTTGGCCGTTCGTGAAATTTGTTGAGCGTGTACTACCTTTTCGTCTCGCATGCACGCGCACGCGCACGCACGATCACCGAACAGAGAGAAAGATCCGTACGAACTGTTCGCCGTTGGCGAACTACTCGGACCAAGCTGTGAGTTCCCCGTGGTTTATATAGAGTCCAATAGAGAGGATCGTCCCACGTCTCGGTGAGAGAAGAAGAAGAAGAAGAAGAAGAACAAGAAGAACAAGAACAAGAAGAAGAAGAAGAAGAGAAGAGTGTGTTACCGATGCACACGTGGAAACACGGGAAAAGAGAAAGAGATACGTGGCCGAGATAACGAAAAATATAATGAAAAAGTACAAGAGCAACGATGCCTGATTCATCGACATCTCGTAACGAGGAGAGAACGAATTCCTATCCAAACTTCTCTTCTCTTCTGTTTTGCTCTCGAGAGAAAACGGAATAGATTTTCTCTCTTAATTCTGACTGACTTACGCAAGCCTCGTAAAATGGAGAACAAAGCTGCGCGCCACTTTGCACACCAGTTGAAATAAACTTTACGAAAAATTCTGCGAAAAAAGATGACGAGAGAGAGAAAAGTGGAGCCACGTTACCTACGAAAGAGTACTTATAAGCCTTCTCCTTGACGAGGAGAAACAAGGAGTGAGAACGAAAGAGTTGCGATGAAATATGGGTGGGGTTGGGTTTGGTTGGCGGGGAGTCATGCACCACCTACGCGAGAATGGTGAAACCAGGAAGGGAAAGAAGAAAGAAAAAAAAAAGAGAGAAAAAATAAGTAGATTATTATGGAAAATGGAAGGCATATCCATATCCCTCGTTTCTTGTACGATGTTTCAACTCGACGAGGAGAGAAAAAAAAACGGTAAAGAAAAATTTCGGTTCGATTCGATAGATGGAAACGAATGCATGTCGAGAAATCAGCACTCGTCTGGGAGTAAAGAAAAATTCACGCCGCAAAACCACCGCGCATTTCTATTCTTAGACGATCGAAAGAGAAAGGAGCCGAGAGAGAGAGAGAGAGAGAGAGAGAGAGAGAGAGAGAGAGAGAGAGAGAGAGAGGAATGGAAAGGAGCGCAAGAAGGGAAAAGGGAATCGAGCGGAGTCGCTATTAACGAGACAGAAGGGACACGACCACGACAACGCGTCCGGTGAGTACAAGGGGTTATTCGGCGTAAATAGCGACGAAAATTTTTGAGCCCGTTCCAAATTTCTAATGCTGCATGTATGACCTTTAGGCCGCGTTCGTCATGGAGTGAGTCAAATGAATTTTTTTAGCTCGAATTAGCACCGGTACTGTATTCATCGAATTACGTTCATCGTTCGAGATACATACTTTTAACGTGACTATAATCGTCTTAACCATTCTCGTTTTGTAACATCGTCATGTATAATTCCCGATATTAATCTCGAGAAAGAAAGAGAAAATCCGAGAGATTTTCGATGGAAAAGTTGGAGGTTTCGGGATTCGATGGATTAAGGCGGACAAAAAAAATTCGCATGCCATTCG